AAAAAAAAACCAGAAGGTGATGGTGAAGAGGAGCTTCACTAACAAAATTGTACCATAATAGTTCAAACTCAAATACGACGTGAGATGTCTTTGACAAGTCGATGATGACGAGACGCAACTTGGGAAAATCGTAAGGATTTGACAGTATACATTTATACATGCACGTGGTGTGTTGCTGCTACTTTCCACAGCAGTCAAAACGAACCACTCAAATTTTTTTAAGTTATTCCAATCTTTAATTTCCTCTTAACATATTATCCACATTCCATAATATATGTAATTGAAAAATGGTTGTGATGATTACACTAAACCTGATGGGAATATATTTTGCCAAAGCTAAGTTGCAGTTAAGAGGTCTTCATTAAAATTGAAGTCCGATTTATTTATGAGCCCCGTTTTATTCTATTTGGGCTTTCATGACAGACGGGCCGGCTGGCAGCAGTTGTGTATATATGGGCTAACATTCTCCAATTCGCAATTCAGCCCATAAATTCGACCCAAAAGTTGATAGATACACATTCGATTTTTCGAAGTCAAACTAAGGTTGAATGCATGCACTAACTGACTCAGAATTATACAAGGTTGTCATACTGAGCAGTAGTCTTGTGCAGTGGATTCATGTATGGAAACTTTAATCTAGTTGACCATTGTGCTTCATCCTATAATACAATACCAAAACATGAAACCAAACAAAAAAGCATAAAAAATTATAGCATGGGTAAATTCAGCATCATACGTAGCAGCAGATTACGATTACTCAAACTTCTTGATGAGAGCGAGGTCATGCAGCATTTTCTCAATCGCCTCATCGTCATGTGCCCGTCCTCTAGTCTGTAAAAGTAAAAAAGTATCCAATTAAACAAACAGACACATATCCAAATGAACTAAGAGATCTTTGAAGCAGGGGAAGAGCTATTTATCGTTTGGTATGTATTGTATAGTGTTTCCCATAAAAAGTGTGCTAAAAACGATACAAATTGACTAAGGAATTAGAAAGATGTCTATTTTTTTCATTACTTTTTATATAATCAAGAAAAAAGAAGGTAAATTAGCATTCTACTTGGTACCATAGCTGGAAAACTCTTTAAAACCTCAACTCCTAGAAGACCAAACAACAAAAACTGAAATGAGAATATTCTCTAAAGACACTAAATAAACAGACTAGAAATTACGTCATTTGTGAAATTCCCAAAGCAGATTTTACTAGTGGCATTGATCAAAGTTAACAGAACAATTACAAAAAGTATAGATTGAGGTTTGATCTAGTCAAGGAGGAACCAAGGTACCTTTCAAACTCACAAAAGTACACCCGACAAAACTAAGGTTTTAACTGAAATATCATTAAAGCTAAGGTATATAAAGAATGGCGTTACATGTGAAAGGGAGTTTTGATTCTTACAAAGGGGACAAATGTAAGACAACAAATTTCAGGGCTACTTCTGTAAGTGTGACATGTGGTTGTGTTTTCTTTTTTCTTTTTTTAATTATAATTGGTGCCAAATCTGGAGGGTATTCATTTCGGGTGAGTTTGGTTGGGAGAGGGTTATTAGGCTTGATATAATCACGTCGAAATTATCAAAGGCTATCCACCAAGTTAAGCAAATCATTAACTTGTTTGGTTGGTTGTTGATAATTAAAACTTTTAAATTGAAATTATTCTTTTGCCCTTCATTGATAATTAAATTTTCAAATTTTGCCCACTGTAGAATAAGATTTCTTCACCGAGAGACGAGGAAATTGACAAACATTTTCAAAGCCCACTGCAAAAATAAGGTTTCTTCACCGAGAGAGATGAAGAAAACCAGGCCCTAGATTCTACATCGAGTCCGAGCCCTCGATCCTTGTGTGCGGCACAAAGAGGAAAAAGCAGGTTGTGGCCACGAAGCAAGCCCTCGTACGGCGCCATCGCAAAGATAAACAAAGTCAATTCGAAGGGTACAGAGTGAGCGAGACGGCACCATGAAAATTGTTTCATGAAAATTGGTGAAGAAAGAGTAAGGAAATTGGGGAATAAAGGGGAAATTGAGGAAGGAAATTGGACGGAGAAGAAAATGGGGAAGAAAGGGGAAGTAAATTGGGCAAGGAAACTGGAGAAGAAAATGGAAGAAAATTGGAAAAGAATGTAGAGATTAGGGAAGCAATGAGTTGGATGAACGGAAAAGATGTGAAGAAATTAGAGGAAGAAGATGGGTAGTTTAGCTGTGTTACTGATTTGATAAATAAATTATACCTCATCCCACCATAATGGTGGGGTATGGAATACCAGAAAAAAAAAAAAAAAGGAAAAACAATCGGGCTTTTGCGGGTTTAACGGGCTATACATAGGGCAACCAAACAAAATAAACAACTTGATATATTAACAAATTGTAGGATATCAACCATAATCATCCCTACCAAACGCAC